GGAGGGAGGGAGGGAGGGGAGCTTCCAGGGTCAAGAGGCACTTCCAGGGATGGCTCTGTGCGACCCCTGCAGGTCAGGACTGATCACTGCATGCCTAATGGCAGGCAGCAAGGAGACAGAAGCACCAGCAGACCACGTCTGGTACCATCCCCAGCAGACTGGAACCATCCCCAGGTAGACCACCTCTGGAACCATGCCCAGCAGACCACCTCTGGTACTATACCCAGCAGACCACCCCTGGAACCATCCCCAGCAGACCACTCCTGGAACCATCCCCAGCAGACCACCTCTGGAACCATGCCCAGCAGACCACCCCGGAACCATCCCTAACAGACCACCCCTGGAACCATCCCCAGCAGACCACCTCTGGAACCATCCCCAGCACCCTGGGTACCACAGGTGCTCAGGGCCCATGTGAAGGGGCAATCCTCACCAAGAAGGCCACATCAACTCCCGTGGATGCTTCTCATGGATCTGGACTTCTAGTGCCAGACACAGTGATCCTAGAACTTATTCTTGGACCACAGGCAGTAGGAAAACTGCAGTGCCTTTCACCAACATGCAGACAATATAAGAATCCCAGAATTTCCCATTAATATATAAACATCTACTATTGCCAGATTATGACTCCCTAACCAGGATTTCAGCAACAAGCAAATTTAAAAAGAAATTCTATGGGATGACAAAGGTCAGTCAACATCTTGTTCTGCAATCAAGAGCATTTTAAGATGCAACGACATCATCCTGTACCATCAGGAGGCAGAGGCAAGTGTATCTCTGTGAAACTGAGGCCAGCCCAGTAGTCTACACAGAGCGTTCTAGGCTGGGACTACAAGGAAACCCTGTCTCAAAAATAAAAAAACATTCTATAATTCATCAGGAAGGACATGACCTCAGAATAACAGACAATCCTGGAAGATGAAAAACCACTGACTTCTTCAAGTTACATGTTGTCCTGGCCCTTCCTGCCTACATAGAGCTCTCTGCTGGTGCTAAAGTGTCAGCCCCAATGATGCAGCCCTCCCACCAGGGTACAAGGTCAATCCTGCATCTCTGGGCCATGGGGTCTTCCAACACTGTCACCATCTTAAGTGTACATCCACAAAGAAACAGTTTCCATGTTACAGAGACGACTTCACACAAAGTGCTTGTATGCATAAACTCTCAGGACCTCACCACAGCCTGTGGAAAGGTGTGGCAGGAAGTCAGCAGTGGTCCTTCCACTGCTCCCAAGAACTGGCTGAGCCCAGCTCAAGGCAGCTCTCAGGTAGGACTTCCCTCTGCTCAGGCCCGTGCTTGCTGTCCAGCACTTTTTCTTTAATGAACTTTTTATCGAAAGAATCAATTCATGAAAGATCAAGGGGAAAACTTTAAAATGATGGCACTTAAGCCTGACAACAGAAACAGTCAACATTTTAAAAATTGCTAATTACCTATTTAAGAAGTATTTTTAGCCAGGCATGGTGGCGCACGCCTTTATTCCCAGCACTCGGGAGGCAGAGGCAGGTGGGTCTCTGTGAGTTCAAGGCCAGCCTGGTCTACATAGTGAGTTCCAGGACATCTGGGGCTGCAGGGAGACCCTGTCTCAAAAAAAGAACAAGTATTTTTGCCTAAACTTACCTAATGTCAAAATGAAACACACCAGAACAAGAACCCCCTCTTCTAGAAGAAGGCAGAGTATGTATTAATGTATGTGTGTGTGTATGTATGTATGTATGTGTATGTGTATGTATGTGTGTGTATGTATGTATGTGTGTATGTATGTGTGGGTGTATGTATGTGTGTATGTATGTATGTATGTGTATGTGTGTATGTATGTATGTATGTGTGTGTATGTATGTATGTGGCATGTGCCACCACACTGGCTCAAAAACCTATATTTAAAAGTCACTAAAGTAGGCCAGGCATGCCTTTAGTCCCAGCACTCAGGAGGCAGAGGCAGGTGGATCTCTGTGAGTTTAAGCCCAGCCTGGTCCACATAGTGAGTTCCAGACAGCGAGACCCTGTCTCAAAAAGACAAAAAATAATAAATAAATAAATAAATAAGTAAGTAAGTAAGTAAGTAAATAGTCAAAGAATATATGACAGTGGTAGGTTTCCGGAAATATATATAAACACCCAGGATGGCAAAGATAAATTCTGAAGTATCACCACTGTCCCCACTCCAGCCTGTCTGGCCTATACATTCACAACAGCCAAGACTCAAAGTACAAGCCTCCGATCAAAGCACATGGCAGCCCCAAGAATAGCAAAAATCTCACAGACGCGTTTGGATAAGCTGGGACAATAGTCAGGCTCTTCCCTCTGGGCCACTGACCCCTCTGCTAGACACAGCTCAGGCAAGGAGGCAACAACAGCTCATCAAGCCCTACCACATTTCCTTGCTATGCTGGGCTTGGATACCCAGGGCTTAAAAGTATACTGAGTGAAGGAGTAATCCTTACCAAGGCCACATCAACTTCCTGTGGGTGCTGCTCATCAATCTGGGGCTCACATGGATAAAGCTGCTCTTTCTTAGTCTGTATCCCATCCCTGGTAACAAGGCCCATCAGAACTACATGTACTGTGTTTGAGCCAGCTTAGTGCTGCTGCATAGGACCACTGGGGATCAAGGTTTGGAACTCCACCCACAGTACACAAAGGCCATTCACTGTCTGGTCAGCTAAAGCACATGATGGTACAACTGGCAAAATACCATTAGAGGTTAGATTTCTCTTATGGCCAAAAATCTAAACAGATTTAAAACCGGCTTGTCTTAAACACTCTCAAGTCTATAATCACCACATATCCACACAACAATCCTAAGAAGTTTCAAGATGACAGATACAATTTCACTGAAACAGCAGCATTCTGGGACTGCTCAAGGCAATAATCATCCCTGGGCCACCAGCCCATGACCCTCATACCTGGTTGTATAGCCTTATTCACAGCAAAAGGCACCAACAGTGAGAGCACAACACTCTCTCACCCACCCCCAAGCCTGGGCATGACAGGGAAAGATCTCCAGAAGTGCCTATCAAGGATCGGACCCAAAAGTGGGAAAAGCCATCACCCAACGAGATGTCCTATCTGACAGACACCAAGCAGCTGCAGTCTGGAATCACCCAGGTAACCAATACATTTCCCACTTTCTGGTATGTGAGGGTCTGAAGAGAGCACCCCTGGTGTCATCTTATACTGTGAAGACTGGCAGTGAGTGCTGTTGGGATGGTCCCTGGTCTAACTATGGGCAGTCACTTACTGGCTAATTCCATGTGGGCCTCCTAAAGGTAATCACTGTCTGGAAGATCCCCAGGGTGAAATGGCAGAAAACTCTTGTCTCCTGTTGTGATATGAGGCACAGGAGGTATGACAGCAGGTGCTGCGCTGTGGGTGCTGTGCTAGGACCTCTATCCAATGAGTTGGCAGGGAACCATTCTGGAATACAGGCAGCCCAAGAGAGAACGTTATAACAGCAGGAAGGGGTATGCATGCTGACTACATGTACCGCCAAACCCAGGGCAGGAAGATAGGCTAGCATGTCCATGAACTGTATTTCTGCTCCCTACATGTTTTGTGACCAGAACTCTTTTCGTTTGGGTATCAGGCCTCAAAAGAACAATTAAACTGCAAAGTAGGAAAATAACTAGAAGCACAGTTCTGGAAAACACAAGGAGCTCTCCCTACTGGGGCTACAACAGACTTTCAGTCCCAACCCACACTCACATTTCACAGCTCAGTTCATTAATATGCAACTACAAAAATCCTGATTTTTAGGAAGATCAAAATTAAGTTTTATATGCGCCTCTCAGCTGACAATGACTCAAGGAGTGTTCAGTGGCCCAAGCACCTGAGATGGAATCACAATCCAAGAGAACAAGGCCTTTCCTTCTTCACCAACAGCCAAGGAACAAGTTGGCAGAGCAGGACATGGTTCACAGGATGCAGAGTCTGCGTCAGCTCTCACCGCAGATCATCGGCTTCCTCACTGCAGTCAACACTGCATCTGAATTCTACTCATAAACTAGAAACTTCTTTATGGGGTCTGGCAGCGGCAGTGAGGGAACCAGATGCAGCCGGTACTTGCCAAGAGCTCTTCTCACAGCCACACGGCACAAACTCAGCAACGTCCTAGGAGCACCTGAAAAGTGTCAAGAGAAAGAGAGAAGGGAGGAGGTTAATTCCTATCCTCGTTCTGAAGGCACAAAGCTGGACACAGGAGACATAACTGCACTAATGTTCAAATCAAATTCCTAATCTCAGGGTTGGGAAGGGCCCTGTGAGCAAGGATGGCCTTGGTACCTGCTTCCATCTTCACAGGCCCATTAACCAGGGTATCTGCTCACCTGATAGGAGCTCCTCCCTGTGCTACCTTTAGTGTCCTAAATAAGGGCTGCCCACCAAAGGGCCTACAGTATAAGCAATGACCTTGACTCTTAGTCTGTCCCAGCAGGTCTAAGTGAGTCTAAGGAAACCAAGTGTGCACTTGAAGGGAACAGGCTGACAATCCTGCTCTAGGTCAAAAAGACAGTCAATCCTCTGCTTTAGGTACAGAATAGGGTGACAAGTAAAATTTCATCCACACAAGCAGTTTTATTCTATCAGGCTGGCTCCTACCTGATACTTAGCCAATCACTGGGGGAAGGCTAAACAAAAGCATGCTTCCATGAACTAGCTGGGTATAGCCAACCATCACTTGGTATAGCCAATGAAAACAAACTGAGAGCCGGCCCTGGTGGCACATGCCTTTAATCCCAGCAGAGGCAGAGGCAGAGGCAGAGGCAGGTGGAGCTCTCCAGCCTGGTCTATAGCCTGGTCTACATAGCGAGTCCCAGGCCAGATGGAGTTATAGGGAGACCCTGTCTCAAAAAGACCAAAAAAAAAAAAAAACCACACACTGAAATTAATGTTCTGTGGGAGGAAAGGGGCTAAGGACAAGACTGCGAACTTACATGTCCTCTGACAGGATGGCAGGAATGAGGGGTGGGCATACAAACAGGAGGTACAAGACACTCATAGTCAATCTCTGAATTAGAGAGCAGCTGATGGCAAACCCAAGTCACAGATCAATTCCAAACGCTCTTGCCATCAATTTATTCCTTAGTAAAATCGTTGTATACAAATAAGCAATCCTCAGGCTTTATTCTAACAAAAATTAGATTTATTACACAATTCAAGCTAATGATAATTGAGAGGAACTAAAATTTTTTAAAAAAGGCACTCTAGAGAATGGGCTTGCAACTTTGCTCATCAGAAATCATGTCAAGGTGCAAGCCTTCAAGCCCAACACTTGGGAGGTAGAGGCAGGAGGATCTCTATGCATGCAAGGCTAGCCTGGCCTACATAGCAAGTCCCAGGCTGGTCAGGGCTACACAGTTCTCACTCTGTCTCAAAAAAAAAAAAAATATGTGAAACCCATCATTAGTATTCTCTCTTGAAAAATAAAGAACAGGAAGAGAGAGGAGGGAGGGAGGGAAGGAAACTGAAGAAGAAACCATTATCTAAGAATTTCAGGTCATAAGGCAGAGCAAAAAGGTGGTGAGAATCCAATTCTAAGAACTTTGAAAGCATACATGTGATTTATAGATTTCTCCTTGTTTAGGAACTGCAAAAGAACAGTCTAAGGCTGGGGAGATAGATCAGTTGGTAAAGTACTTGTCATGTAAGTACAAGGACCACCCCCAAACCCAACCCCCCACCCCGCCACACACACACACACACACACACACACACAGCTCAGGAATAATGGCATACTTATAATCCCTAGAGAGCCTGGGGAGGCAGAGACAGGCATATCCCTGGGTTTGGTTGTCCTCTGGCCTCCTCATGCACAAACACTGAGATACGCACACATAGGCTGAATGGCCACTCCAGAGAACTAGTGGTCCTAATTGAGGGTTTTGGTCAAGTGCTTATCTGGAGGTTGTTTAGTTTTGTTTTTTTAATTACTACTAGATCTCATTAATTCAATTAATCCCAAACAAACCACAAGACAGAGCTGAGCTCAGGCCACTTACTTCTAGCCTCTTTAAACACCTGCAAGGCCTCAGGGTCCATCTTCCTTCTGCCTCTCGCCTCTGGGCCCAGCGATTCCCACTTTACCAGGTTCAGATTGGCTCCAAACTCTACCAGCAGGTTCACAAAGGCTGCCTCACAGCCGTGGCGCAGGACAGCATCCATGACACACCCAGGGGAGCCCCTGTAGAATTCCTGTGTGTTAACAGGGCCGTTACAATTGAAGTCAGGGTTTGCTCCAGCCTGCAGAAGCAGCCTGAAACACTGCAGGTTGTGATAGGCTGCACTGATATATAAGGGACAGACCACCAAGGAGGTGAGTCGCCTCGAGAACGGGGGCCGAGTGTCAGAAGTCAGGTGGTGGTTGACATCGACGTCTGCCCCGTACCTACAGGGGAGAGAAAAATCAGGTCTAGTGGTACATCAACCTCAGTCCACAAAGACTATCCAGCTACCCTGAGGAAGGTCTTAAGCAGTGACACAGGGAGCCATTGGAGACTCCACAGGTCACAAACACAGCCAGCTCTCTGCAGGTTCAGTATCCAAGGCCTCAGCCAATTGCAGATCCAAGATATTTGGAAAAAACTGTAGTAAACATGCACAGTCACTTTCTTGTTCTCACTGTCTAAACAAGTCTAAAGCCATTTACACAGCATCTACAGCAGAGTCAGTAGTGTATGTTTGTCTAGTGTACGCCTGGAAGACTGTGTAGAGACCACATGCAGAAACTACACCACTGTATATAAGGCATTTAAGCATCCTCAGAGTTTGGTATCAGGAGGGATTTCCTGGAAGTAATCTCCCATAGACATCAAGGGACAACTGAAGCATCAGTACTTCTAGCAAGAGAAAGCAGCAGCTAAGAATGTGGAATCCACTCAAATTCCTAGGGGAAGTGTTTTGGATCTTTAAAGATACAATAATTCCAAGACTACTTAAACTATTTAAAAATCTTCAATAAACAAAGAAATTAGTTAAGCAGAAATTAGTAAAAAAATCCAAACATATATCTAGAAAGCAATGCACCATAAACTCATGGGAATTAAGAATACTAATTCCAGAGCTGGAGAGATGGCTCAGCAGTTGAGAACACTGACTGTTCTTGCCAGAACGCAGGTTTGATTCCCAGCACCCACATGGTGGCTAACAACCATCTGTGGCTCCAGTTCCATGGATCTGACACCTTCTTCTGACCTCCCCAGGCACTGCACAACAGGCACACTTACACACACGTGGGCAATACATTCATACGAGCACTGGCTACTCTTGCAGAGGACCCAGGTTTCATTCCCAGAACCCACATGGCAGCTAACAACAGTTCATAACTCCAGTTCCAGGGAATCCGACGCCCTCTTCTGTCCTCTGCAGGCACTGCACAACATGGGTGCACTTACACACATGCATATACACTCATACACATAAAATAAAAATTAAAAAAGTAAACATAGTATATAAAATAGGAAGTGATAGCTACTTTCTTAAAATGATAAAATACATTTCCTGAAGCCAGAAGTCATCATCTTCCACCACAAAGAAGTGCTCAGAGTGCCCCTTCTACAAGGGGAGCAACAACACAAACCGCTCCACATTCTGGGCTCTGTAACTCTGATGCTGAAAATCTTAAAAGTGCAATTAGCAAAGGAAGGCACTGAGATAGAAGAGGCTGGAAAGGAAGAATGAACTATTTTCTATGCTCAGAGGAAAGGATTACATAGCCTAGAAAAGCCTACAAGGAACCAAGAGACAACAAGCAACAGAGAATTTACTAAAGTAGCAGGTCATACATTGATAACCGCCATTTATATATACAAGCAAAAGCAAGTTCAGAGATAAAGTAGGGGAGACGCCCATCACGGCAGCAAAATCAATTTTAAAATGATCTATGTAGGCAGAACTTAACAATGAATGTGCGAAGTCTGCATGAGGACATGAAAAAGTACAGGTAAAACTTACAAAAGCAGACCTAAGAAGATGGAAAGACACATCGAGTACTGGGAAAGACTCATATCACGGTATGAACTCTCCGAGTTAATTTTACAAATGAAAACACCATTCCTGAACTACTCAAGTTGATTACAAATAAATACACCCCCAGAATTATATAAGTTGATTATAAAGTTCATTTGGAAGCTAAACAAGATAAACGAGCAAAGCAGCAATGCTGAGAAGACAACCCTATCTTAAGTAAAGCTTGTTATAAAGACCCTGAAGCCATGTACAAACCAGCAGATCCATGTAACTTTACAAAAAATCCTGGAACAGACCACAAACTGCATGAAGAAATTTAGTATATACAGTACGACACCATCTTAAGAGGAAGGAATGCTCATGAACTTTTAACAAGTTTTTTTTTCAAGATAATTGGAAAAAAGATAAAGTTAAACCCATTTATCATGGCACCCACCAGAATAAATTCAAAATAAATCAGAATTTAAAATATAAAATCATATCGAAACTAGGAAAAAAAACCCTCCAGGTAAAAATTTGCCATCTGGGGCTGATGAGATGGGTCAATGGGTAAAGGTCTTTCTGTCAAGATTTTCTTTTTTATTATTATTATTTTTATTTTATGTGTATAAGTGTTATGCCTGCATGTAAGTAAGTGCACCCATGTCATGCAATGCCCTCGGAGGACAGAAGAGGCTGTCAGATCCCCTGGAGTTACGGACAGTTGTTAGCTGCCATGTGCGTGCTGGGATTCGAACCCGGGTCTTCTGCAAGAACAGTTAATCGCTGAGTCATCTCTCCAGCCCCTGCTGTCAAGATTTTCAATTTGAGTTTAATCCCTGGGATCCACACAGTTGAAGGAAAAAATCTACTCCTGCAAGTTGTTCTCTGACCTCCACATGCGGGCACACACACACATAAAATAAATTGGATTTGTTGTTTGGTTTGTTTTGTTTTGTAAGTGGGGTTAGAGAGATAGCTCAGCAGTTAAGAGCACTTGCTACTCTTACAGAGGACCTGGGTTCTATTCCCAGTACCCACATGGTGGCTCCAATGCTCTCTCTGGTCTCCCTGGGCACCAGGCACACACACATAGTACCTTTATTTATACACACACACACACACACACACACACACACACACACACACACACATGCAGGCAAAATACATAAAACAAAAATAAATCTTTTTTAAAATTTAAAAATTTAAGTACCCTAGGATACTACTTTTTGCCTGTAAGACTGGAGAAGCTGCAAATGTTTACTGACTGAGCGTTAAAGAAAAAAAGGAAGTATATTTACTACTGGGGCAATTGAAATGGAGCAAGTCCTATGGAGGGAAATTTGACAACTCCACTAAAATTACAGACGTGCTTCCCCTTTAACCCATCAGTCACACTTCTTGGTATCTGTTCCCAAAATACATTAATAAAACTAAGAAAGGACGTGTGTACAAGGAGCAAGTGCATTAAAGCACTATATAGTACTGGACACAGGAAATCACCAACACATCAATCAACAGGGGACTGGTTGATTCCTGCCCTGATGGGTACCTGACTCTGAAGTGAGCAAACAACCATCTGGCACCTGTTTGTTCTAGCCTTCTTTGCCCCTAGATTGTCTTACATGCTGTGTTATCACCTAAGCATTTAATTCAAAACAGGAAATGACCATACACAGGAGGCAATGATGAGGGACCCAGGGAAGATGGAATAGCACCATTTTCCCGTCCTGATAACAGTGACCAGCAGCCTCAGCCAGCAGTCCTGTCCAACGATCTGTCTCTAGCACTCCAAGCAAATGCTCAAAGGAACATTCATGTGGAACCAAAAGTGCTTCTTTGGGGCAGCACAGGCACTGCAACATTTCCTCTGCAAATGCAAACCTCACCTAGTCTCCAAGACTGTCTAGGAGTGAGAGAAAAAATACTCTAGAACACACATGAAACCAACCAGAAAGCTGATGTTCCACTCCACTATTCAACTAAGTAAAGAAAACTAGATTCACACAGTGATTTTGTTTTCCCTTCTTCTTGGGACACACCCTCCAAAGCCATCTATGATGCTGCCCAGTAGGAGCACCTGCTACTGACTGGGGAAGACAACCTTTCAAAGTCCTAGAAGACAAACTGGGTAGGACCCAGTTCATTTCAATCCTGACGGCTTTCCAAATTTCTCTATTGCTTTTATAATGCCTCTGGCAAGGAACCACTGCAACAGCTCAACAATCAATTTAACTTTGCACATACTGAAACACAATTCCTGGGTTGGAAACATGACAGAGCTGCTAAAAGCTAAGGCTAACCACCAAAACATCAACGGTTCAGTTCCTTATCTTTCATTCTAAAGAATTAGAAATATAGATCAAGGGAATTTACAAATAACAAAATGGAGGTTCTTTACAGAGGGTCAGGAAATGACAATGACGAAAGAAGAAAAGTGTGCCTGCAGGAAAACGATACAGCAGACAGGCAGGTTAGGTTATATTCAGGCAGTATTGTCTGTTTACTGATCTAACAGCATCATTTCTATTGTCCAGAAGTCAATCATCTTATAATCTAGAATACAGAGAACTTTTCAATAGAACAATATATGTTCATGATAGGGTATTGTCAAAGAACTGTCCTGTGTGCCACAGAGGAAACAGGATGTGTTCCCTGAAATGCAAAAAGGGATTTCTAAAACAAAAATGGAATTTCATTGACTTACCCTACTCAAAACCATTCCCATGGGGGCAAGTGAGATGCTAAGCCTGGTGACCTAAATTGGATCCTTGAACCCACTTGGCGGCAAGCTGTCCACTGACATCCACACAGTTGTGCGTGTGCACGTGCGCGCGCACACACACACACACACACACACACTGTAATTTTAAAAATTAAAAAATGTATTTCCACATTAACACCTTGCATTCTCCAAGATGTAAGGACATAAAATTAAGGTAGCTTAGACTGTCAAGTTAGAAAGCTAGGTATCCCCTAGGAAGATGTTTTTAAGCTTCAGGTTTTATCACTCTCTTAAATACAAAACCTCCCTGCTCTGACTTTTCTTCCCTCACACCAACTCTATAGCCACTTAGTATGTAAGCCTTTTGCAGGAATGTAGTCTCAGAACCTGGTTTAGAAACTACTTTCTGCACCAGGCAAGGAGAACGCTCACCCACCTGACCCCACTGATGACAGACAGCCTTGAACAATGGAACCCTTACCTGCTCCTCCTCTATACAGAACACTCTCACCTAGCACTAGCTGCCTAAGCATCACTGGCCTACCTTAGAAATCATCTAGTTTCCACAATAAGGGTAAAAAAAGGCATCTATGGTAAAAAGAAGTCACTGGACACATGAGAAGGGAAAACACAAGCTGGTTCAAACAAAAATAAATGTTAACTATTAGCACAATTAAGACTGTAATCTGGACAGGTGGTGAACACCTATAATCTCAGCACTTGGGAGGTCAAAGCAGGAGGATCAGGAATTTAAGGATACCCTCTGTTACAGAGCACATTTGAGGCCAGCCTGGGCTCAAAAATAAATAAGTAAAACAAAAAGACTAAAAATAAATCACTAAGGAAACAATCCAATAAAAGAATTCACCCCAACCTTAGATATGGCAATAATGCTGGCTCTACTAAAAGAATTCCAGGGGGGCTGGAGAGATGGCTCAGTGGTTAAGAACACTGACTGTTCTTGCAGAAGACCGGGGTTTGAATCCCAGCACCCACATGGCAGTTAACAACTGTCCTGTAACTCCAGTCCCAGGGAACCCAACAGCCTCTTCTTACCTCCAAAGGCACTGCAGGACACAAGTACACTTACTTACATGCAGGCAATACACGCATACACATAAAATAAAAATAATAAAATTCAAAAAAAGAGGCAAAATTCCAGACAAATCTGAGCATACACAGAACTACCTACACTGAGACGAAAACTACTACATAATTCTACGTAAATGAGCCTTAAGTGAAATCAATAAGTGCTCATCTGGATAATGGTCACAATCCATAAGTAACTTTTTGTTGTTGTTGTCTTTTTTGAGATAGGGTCTCCCTGTAGTCCCAGCTGACCTGAACTCACTATGTAGACCAGGCTGGCCTTGAACTCACAAAGATCCGCCTGCCTCTGCCTCCCAAGTGCTGGGACTAAAGGCGTGCGCCACCACGCCTGGCCCATAACTTTTTTTATTTTATTTATTGGGGTAGGGGAAAGTAAGCCCATGCCATGGGATGCATGTGGAGATCAGAGGATAACTTGCAGAAGTCAGTTCTCCTTCTATTATGTGGTACCAGAAATTGAACTCAAGGCAACAGGCTTGGCAGCAAGCACCATCACCTGCTGAGCCATTTCATTGGCCCATGAGCTCAATTAAATCACAACACTCAAAGCAAAACTTACTGGAAATTTAAAGGAAAACTGACAAAAATCACAACAGTAATTACAGACTTAAAAGATTTTCTAGAGACTAGAGAGATGATTCAGAGGTTAAGGACACTGGCTACTCTTGCTGAAGACCTGGGTTTGGTTCCCAACACCCACATGGCAGCTCATAACCATCTATCACTCCAGTTTCAGGGGATTTGATGCCCTCTTCTGGCATCCCAGGGTACCAGGCATGCACATGATGCACACACATATAGGCAGGAAAAACACTCATACACATAAAATAAATAAGCCTTAAAAAAAGATTTTCTAAGTCAGGGGTGGTGGCACACACCTTTAATCCTAGCATTTGGGAAGCAGAGGCAGGTGGATTTCTGTGAGTTTGAGACCAGCCTGGTCTACATAGTGAGTTCCAGACGAGCTGGGGCTACAGGGAGACCCTGTCTCAAAAAGACCAAAAGAAAAAAAAAAAATTTTCTGAATTTGGCAGAACTGATGACAAAGATGTAAAAAAAGAAAGATTCTGAAGAGAATAATTTGGGTTAGCATACTACATAGTATGCAAACACACACACAAGTGCTATTTCATACATTCAGAACCATGCAGTGTGACATTAACTGAGCATAATGCAATAAAATCAGAAATTTACAGAAAGTGCTACAACAGATTTCTCTTCCTTAACTCTAAGACCAAAGAAGAAATCAACTATAACTACAGCTTTAAAAAAATAAAGCCAGGCATGGTGACACATGCCGGTAGTCCCAGCACTCAGGAGGCAGAGGCAGGCTGATCTCTGTGAGTTCAAGGCCAGCCTGGTCTATGTAGTGAGTTCCAGGACAGCTAGGGCTACAGGGAGACCCTGTCTCAAAAAATAAATAATAAATAAATAAATAAATAAATAAATAAATAAATAGTTTTGGGGACTGGAGATAAGGCTCAGAAGTAAAAGCACATTTGCAGTGGATCAGAGTTCAGTTCCCACCACCCACATAAGACGTCTCACAACTACCTGTAACTCCAGCTCCAGGGCATATGGCACCATCTGGCTTCCAAAGGGCACATACATACATGCAGACACACACATAAATAAAAATTTTAAAACTAAGGAGCTTCCTAGGAGACAGCCAAAGCTATATATAAAGGTAAGTTACAATTAAAGCTTATATTATTCATCAAGAACACAACTTTAAAAAGTTAAAAAATACACATAAGTACACAACTTTAAAAAGTTAAAAAAAACACATAAATGGATCAGTAAGTAAAGAAGCAAGAATACTAACAAAGTAGCTCTTGTAAAAGACGAGCCAAATAGCCATGTTCCCTAATTCTGTAATAGGCATAATCTTAAAGATGGAAGAAAGGCAAATACAGAAAATAAGGAGGGAAGGTGGCTCAGGACCCAGCAGGAAAGCACCGGCTCCACAAAGCTAGAGGCACCACAGTACTGACCTGATGAGAGCCTTCAGGATGTCGGCCCTACCCACACGAGAGGCATGGTAGACAGGAGTGCTGCGGTGGTGCCTGCTTCCATTGGGGTCAGCACCAGCTTCCAAAAGAATCTCAGTGCTCTCCAGGTGCCCGTTCACCACAGCCACATACAGGGCAGTCTGGCCCTTGACATCCACCAGGTCCACCTCGGCCCCTTTGCGTATAAGGAAGTCCACACAGTTCCCATGGCCTGCAGTGGCTGCGATTCTCAACGGTGTACAGGGGAGCCAGCCACAGCACCAGACAGACTTCTCATTGATGCGGCTATGGAGGAATACAGGGAGCTCGTGAGGAGCACCCCAGGCAGATGAGCTCTCTCCCTCCTCACACACTGGAGAGGCTCAGGCTGTGTTCTGCTTTCTTTCTTATGGTGCTGGAGTGGAAACCCAGAGACTTCCGCATGCTAACAAACACTAGCTCTGAGCTACATCTCCAGCCCTTTGTGGTTTGCATTCTGAAATGTTTTTCCCAGCTTTCTACTGCTAGACCTGAGCAGAGAGGACAAGCATTCAGAGACCCATTATAGAGATAAGGACAGTCAAGGCTTAGGCAGAATAATCAGTGCTAGAACTGAGATTTCTAGTTCCTACATTCCTGACCCACATTCCAAAGCCTGTTCCTCTACAAAACATAGACAGGTCCACCAGGGAAGAGGGCAGCATTGAGAGCCCACTGGCCTGGAATCTGGGTCAGAGCCATGCATATTCTCTCACCAGTGGCCACCTATAAAGTCCTAAGGCTGAGGCTCTCTCTGGTAGATCACTAAGGTGCTACAGAGACTCTACTACTGGCCAGCAGTGGCAGTAAGCTGTCCAGACTCAGCCCTCAGGCAGTATGACCATTAGACAACTATTTGTGTCGTTCACTTCAGGTCAGCAACCAAGGTATGGTTCACCTCAGCTTCTGCCCTGAAACAGAGACTAAGGCACATATAGGGGGCAGTGTCTTGCTAAACCAGCTCCCAGCATTCTGTCTCCAGCTCCACATGAGCTGATACAGGCCAGTAAAGTCCAGGAACCTTCCAGAGCCCATCACCAAAGAAATGAACAGCAACAGAAAATAACTTAAACAAAATACTCACTAAACCGGAGTGTAAGAAAAAAGGAGCCAGTGGGTGGCATGTCCCAATAATCTAGAACTCAGAAGGTAGGGGTGGAGCCAGGAGGATCACAAGTTCAAGGCCAGCCTAGGCTACAAAGCAAGCTTAAGGCCTGCCTAGGTTACATAAGGCCAGAGAGGAGGAAGGAGAGAGAGGAGAAAAGGGAGAGAGGAGAAGGAAGAGACAGATAGGGACAGGGAAAGAGGGAGGAGAAGGCAGGAGAGGGAGGGAGGGAGGGAGGCAAAGAAAGCGGGGCACAGTAGGGACCTGAGTGAACTTGCATTCTACTGTTACAGCTGCACGTTTAGGGGCTTGAGTCACATTAAATAAATTTAAAATCTTTAAAAAAAGACTGCCATTTGCTCTGAGGCAATACTACTAGGACCCTAGAAGGATAAGAAAGGGACACACGCTGGCTTGCTGGGATCCTTCACTTGGGAACTGTTCGCACACAAGCAGTACTGTGCTTCTGCATGGACCTGCAGACACTTCCATCAACTCAGTGCCATCCTTCTTCTCAAGACAAAGCAGAAACATCAGCACAAGGAAGTTTCAGGTCGCAGTTGTCTTTAGTATCTAGTTAGGACTCAAGGCAATCAAGAAACACTCCAGAGAGGATAAGTGCTCCCCAGCATCCTGCAGAGAGAGGTGAGAAGGACTCTTTTCTGTAAGGGAGACCTAGTGCTGGTATGGAACTGGAAGAATCTGGTAATCAGAGAAAAGAAAGTATGGACAGGAAAACAACACAGATGGCAGCACCAAAGCCCTAGGCTGGGGAGTCAGCTGGCCTACAGCTGACCACCACGAGCCTGAGAAATGAAGACATTAAAATGTCAGCAAGGCGGCTGTGGCCACAGAGCTGCCTGCAATAAAGAGCCACGGGAGACTTGGAGGGGCAAGGCCACTACTAAGGACACCAGTAGTGTTGCTTTCAGGAGAGAAATGAGGAAGCTGATGCCCAGAGGAGGTCACAAGTTGCCAGAAAACACAGAGAACCAAGCACCCTGATCACACTGTCTGGCCCTCTCCTATAATCACTTTCTCTTCCTCCTATAAAACTAGAATGCACTCCTGTGAGCATCAGAGTCCTTATCTGCAATCCAAACCATAACCTCAGCCTCCTGCAGCCTCCCAGAGCAATACCTGCAGCAGCCCGAGCAAAGATGCTCACCTCCGGTAGCTTTCCTCTTGCAACAGGCTCCTGAGGGTCTGGAGGTCCCCTACATAGGCTGCGTCATGAAGCCTTGTATCTTCACAGTGCTCCAGTGGATGGTCACAAAACTGCTCCCTCAGCCACTCCTTCAGATTAGGACCTGCACTGAAGAGAGGGACTCCTATCAGCATGGAGAAACCTTAGCAAGGCCAACCAAATGGGACACCGTCTGCAGTGGCTCCTTCCTGCCTAGCCACACAGGAACTTTCAAACAAGAAATAAACCATAAAGAAAGCTGGAAACTTTCCCTTATCAAACTAATACATTCCTGACACCAAGCCTGATAAAAAAATTTTTTTTTTAAGAAAACAAGTTGATTCTAAGGTCGCAGGTTATCTTTAGACTGTTTAATACTGTCCCCCAAACACACACCCGTACTTAACTAGTTTGGCCTTGACACATGCCTTAAATCCCAGCACTCGAGAGGCAGAGGCAAGCAGACCTCTGTGAGGCCAACCTGGTGTAGGTAGTTGCAAGTTCCAAGCTAGAGGGTACTACACAGTGAGGCCTTGTCTCAAAAAAGGAAGGAAGGAAGGAAGGAAGGAAGGAAGGAAGGAAGGAAGGAAGGAA